AGGAGTTCTTCATTTGGCGGATAACCCGCCTTGACTCAGACTATGAGACGCTCGCCGTCGTATGCGAAGCTGTCTACCCCGACCGCACAGCCGATGGAGACTTGCGGATATTGGACTTTGATGTGCAGGCATGGGACGACTCCACGATGCTGATCTCGCTCGCCCTATCTAACTCGACCTTGAAAACGTATTTGTATTCCGAAGACCAAGGGTTCAAACTTGTCACTACGGGGCATTATACTGGCGCGTGTCTGACGCAAATTCGTCACCTTCAAGCAGCAGAAGGGGGGCCCATTCATGTCCTGACTGCATCTACCGATGGGCATATCGCCATCTGGGCAGCTACGCCTCCCTCAACCTCTGGCCCCGGACAAGACATCCGCGGATACAGCGAGTACTCCATTGTTTTACTAACTAAAATAAACCAAAGCTCGGTCAAAAGCCTCGCCATGTCGCATGGATCCTCATCGTCAGATTCTCGCCGATGGCTTGTGGTCACGGGCGGCGATGACAACGCCCTCGGCGTTCTCGACCTATCCTGGTCCTCTTCAACAAATACCTACATGGTTTGCAGTCGGTCGCGTGTAAAGGACGCCCATTCTGCTGCCATTACGGGGCTCTGCACGATAAAGCAGCGCAACAGCGATGGTCTGGTCGAGGAGCTTGACGGTGCGGTGGAGGTGGCTACTGCCAGCAACGACCAGCGCGTCAAGCTGTGGAGGATAGAGAGAAATGGCTCCGGTGTGGCGGTCAAGATGTTGGATAACCAGTACAGTTCGGTTGCAGACCCAGGGGATTTGGAGGTCGTCGCACCGGGGAGGCTGATGGTAGGCGGAGTAGGGATGGAGGTGTGGGATGTGCTGCAGAAAGAAAGGATAGGAGCCTGAGGGGACTTCAAAGTTAGGTAGGTAGAGAATGATAAAGCAGGTTAAGATGATATCGTGTGTGATGGGTTTGAGAGATTCTGATCAACGTAAGGCAGGTTGAGCGGTTCCAGAAGAAGCATTGGCTCGCTGTGTTTATAGTCTCTTTGGGGAGAATTTCAGAAAATACGCCTCTCTCCTTGTTCAACAACTGATAAGCGTAAAAAGGCGGATATGGGGAATCTTGACGATATGGTCTATTTGATCATGACATCACGCTTGGATTCAGGTGGGTATAGGCGTTGTGAATAGACCTTAACAAGTTAGAAATATACATGTTTATAGAATGAGGTGTACACTTGCGAGGTTGATTGATTTTCCTAGATTGAAAAAAAGAAGAGCTGGTAAGAATTAATAATAAACAAAATTGAAAAAGGGTGATCCTGTAACCATCTTAATGGTACCAGTTCTGAAGTACATGTTGATCGCGGCAGGGCTCGAACCTGCGATCCTCTGCGTGTAAAGCAGATGCCTTAACCACTGGGCCACGCAACCTTGATATGCTTCTTAGCTTCTTGGCGGATTGGCCGGTAGCTAAGTTTATGGTCACAGCTACAATCCACCGTGAGCGCCCTGCCATGCAATTGTCCCCACTGCAAACCGTCATACTGCGCCCGTCGCAGCTCATTGGTCAATTGCAAGCCAAGCCGTAACGCTGAAGCTGCAGCAGTGGCTTGTCTACCGGCAGACAGTGGAACATCACCAACAAGACCATATCACGACACCAACATTGTCAAGTCAAGCCCGGCCATGAAGACCCTCCAAGCCGCCAGCGCGCTATTGCGCAGTAGTGTCGCGCCACCCCTCTCACGGTTTGTCCATCTTTCAATGACCCGTTCGTCAGCTCGCGGCGGGGGTTAGAAATACCTACTCACGTCCCAGCCAAGGTACCTGTCGTCTAACATCACCCCTATGATCGCACGACGAACACTTCTACCCACCGACACAACCACCGGAGGCTCTTATGGCTACACCAGCACTCGGCCTTTTACCCAGACCTCTACAAACTACAAAAAGAAGGACAAGGAACCCAAAGGCAAAGACCTCAAGAAAGGCTCCGGCGGTGGCAGCGGCAAAGAACCCCCCTCAACTAGCACTACCACCGCCAACGAGGTAGACCCCTTCAACCTAGACGACATCACCTTGCTATTCGACAAAGCCGACGCCCACCACCAAGAAGAACTCAAGAAACTCCGCACAGGAAGCGGGCAATTCAACGCCGACATCCTCGGCGCCCTTCCCGTGCAGCCCGACAAGAAGGGCAGTTCATCCTCCCTCACATTCCCGCTGCGGGAGCTCGCGACGGTAGCCCACCTGGGCGGGCGGCGCTGGAGCATCCTCGCCTTCGAAGAGAGCTCCGTGAAACCGATCATGAGCGCCGTCCAGAAGAGCAACGACTTCAACCAGCAGCCACAGCGCAGCGAGGACAACCCGCTCGAGCTGACCCTCACCATTGAACCGGAGCGGGCCGATGCGCTGACCCGCCGCGCCAAGGAGACGTGCCAGCTGTGGAAGAACAAGATCCGCGACATCACTCACAAGCGCGACGCGCAGAACAAGAAGTGGAAGGCCGACAAGACCTTAACCAAGGACGATTACCACCTCATCCATGAGAAGGTGCAGAAGCTGCAGGATGCGAGGATGAAGGTTATTGCGCTCAAAGAAAAGGAGGCGCTAAATTATATCACGGCCAAGGCGAGCTGAGCTGGGTTGCGATATATAACCAAAAGGGGGGGAGATGTTCTACCATCTCTCTGTATTCGCTGTGTGTGTACGCAAAATATTGATACCTTTGTATAAGTTAAAAAATAAAAATAAATAAACAAGGATAGTCTAGTTTGACCCCAAGCGCGCACGGTATTGTACAGTTTACATATATATATGTACAAAGACACCCTGAGCTAGATAACACATGACATTTTGTTTCACTTTCTTCCAGTCCATTAAGCCGTCTTCTTCACCGCCACAGGAGGTGCCTTCTGCTTGGGCAGCAGTGCCCGGACCTTGGCCGTAAACTCGCTGATATCCGAGTTCTTGTACGAGCTGTCGCGGCCGTGGTAGCTGGCCAGCGTGCCCATGGTGTCAGTCACATCCGCGAACACGGGCGCCTCGTACTTGCCGAGAACGGCCATGTCGACAATGGCCCTCTTGGTCGCCTCCTCGGGTGCCTTGATCCTGAGATCGTGGGGCTTGACGCTCTCGATCCAGGCCTTCTCGGCCAGCGAGTTCAAGAACAGGGGCTTCTTCTCGTGGCGGTACCGACGCATCGCCTCCTTGGCGTCGGCCGTGACGCCATCGTCCGCGTTGAACGCCCGCCCGCCGCCCATGATGCGCATCGTCCGCAGCGCCGTCTCCACCTTGCCGATGCTCGCGTCCGTCGACACCGCGGGCCCGTACCCCAGCAGCGTCGCCGACGTGACCGACGGCGTGTACGAGGTCACCTCGCCCTGCTCTACCCGGTTGATGAGCTCCTGCTCCGCCGGGCTGATCCTCATCTTGGACTGGTCGTCCTTGAAGTTGTTGGCGCCGCCGTCCTTGCGTCCTCGTCGGGCACCGCCGCGCCCTCGTCCACGCCCACCGCGCGCAGCACCTCGGCCTGGCGTCCGCCCCCGGCCTCGCGGTGTGAATCCTGCTCCTTCTGGTCGGGCGGAGCGGAAGCTGTCCTCGCCTCCGGCTGCTGCTCCTGCTAGAGGGAACCGGCGTGGTGGCCCGGCGCCGTCGACGCCGCCTCCTCGGCCGCGGAGAGTGCCGCGCAGGCTGCGGAGGTTGAACACTTTGGGCCCGTCGGCATTCGGAAGGACGCTGGGCATGGCGCGCACGAACCGCTGCGATGGCGGGGGGGCGGTGCCGCCTCGCATCGGTGCGGATGGTCGCCTCAGCTCGCCTAGTCTCGACGCCGCAGCCTCGGATCGTTGCCGACTGTTGCTACTGTGTGGAGGAGGGCGCGGGGCATCGTCGAGGTTGCTCGTCGTGGTGGAGAAGGAGGTGTATGTCTGCCAGCTAATGCTCTTGCCGCAGCTGAGGGCGCTGGATGATGATGATGAGGATGAGGATGATGATGCGAGGAGGCAATGTGTCGCGGTTTCTCGGGACCCGACGCGCCCAAAGGCGGTCTGGACTGCCTGTCGGTTCATGGCTTTGGGCTGTTGTTGTTGTTGTGGTGGTGGTGGTGGTGGTGGTGGTGGCCCCCAATTGCGAGACAGCAAGGCGAGAGAGATGACCAGGTCCAGCTTCGATGGAGCTTCAAAAAAAGAGTGAACCGCGGACTGAATTTGCTACGCGGTTTGCTGATTGGCTGGGATGTGATGCTACTGTGGGGCACTTAGTCGGAGCTGGCAGTTGCGCCAAGAGCCTCACTAATTAACAGACTAGGCTACGATATGACAGTACAACTTGCCACGGGAATGAGGTATCTGCGGTTCCTACTATACCGCGATACATTATGCTAAGATTAGAATAAGATTGGAATATTGCGTCATTGAATTGTTGAAAAGATATCCTAGGACATCACTTCTTGACGTTCATCATCGGGGATTGTGAGTTTGTAACGTCTGGTTTTGGTGTGGAAGCATACGCTCGTTGGTTGTATAATGGCCCTTTGAATAAAATATATTTAGTCTTTATGTAGAAGAGACTGATAATAATACCACATTTGGAGTTGGCATATATCTACCTAATGTTATAGTTAAACCTTTGCTGCTTAAGTAAAATTGGATTTTGAAATAAGGAACAGTTAGGACTCGCCGTCGGACCAACGAGCTCCAACGCTTTATACAACTGCTAACACAGGAGAACTATCTAAATAATACTGTATGATAAAAGAGGGTCCCAGTTGCAAAATATTGGTATTTGGGAATTGACCAAGTTCTCGTTACCTGACTGTCACGAATGAGTAGAATGGCATGTGGGACCGGGTTGCTGAATCCCCTCTCATGGACAGCCGACTCGCCTTAACAAAACCCTGGCCAAGGCTAACAGTCGTCTTGTCGCATGGGAAGTGGGAAGGAAATACAAGGCAAGTAATTTAAGAAGGGAAATACAACCGTGGGCTCAAAAATGTGAGGTGAGCAAAAATATCGACCAACCCAGGTCTCGAACCTGGAACCTCCTGATTAACCGAGTTATAGCAAACAAACAGAATTGTCCGAATACATGTAGTCGTAGTCAGACGCTCTACCATTGAGCCAGCCGGCCGTACATCTCTGATGTGAAGTGGGCATGCTTGTTAGCATTATGCAGAACTGGCTCGGCTTGTGGGAGTGGAGCAAACCTAGGGAGCCAAAGGCACCAAGGGTTAAGGAGGGACAGAGGAGTGACCAACAAGGGTCGTCGGCTAAACATCGGAGCTCTCGCCCCCCGCCAAACCCACCTAAAGCAGCCCGAACAAAGTTGCCTAGGATCCTGCACGCGGCAGGTTGATCAGCTGCAAAATACCGAGGTTCGCTGGCTCGTGAACCTGGGGATTTTTTCCTCCACTCATCAGCCGCCTCAATCGACTTGATTCCATACCTGATGAAAGGCAATTAACTAACTGCCTCGACGCCCTCCTGCCATTACGAAGATTCCAATTTCGGCGCAGAGAAGAGCATTTGCTGTCTGAGTCGTCCAACGTCGTCTCTGGCGCGTGTCGTGTTTTGCTTTTTAGGTCCCAAAAGCGGGCGCCAACACCGATCCGTCGTCATCGCCACTTACGCCTTGATCGCCCTAGGCCGCCCCCTTGGAAACCCATTCCCGGAACACGCAAAAAGGACCACATCACCGTCATCTTCTTTCAACTTCCCTTGCAGCTACGAGGCCGGCCTGTCTCGACCACACACCATCGCGAGAGCGACCATGGCATCGCCTCCAAAGCCCTGGGAAAGAACAGGCGCAGGAACCGCTACTGCTGGTGCGCATTCTCCCCCCCGTGCTCCCGTTGACCATCAAAGAAAGTTTGTCACTGTATTGACACTTCCCGCAGGCCCGTTACCCTCCACAACTCTACCCACCACATCCACAGCTGGCACATCTTCAATGACGTCCGCAGCAACTCCGGCGATACCACCGCGGCCTGCGAGTTTAACTGCGTCCATTAATCAAAATGCCGCTGCTTACAGCAGGCCAATGGGCACTGGCATGATGGGGGGGTACGGCTCTGCATACTCCTCGCCCTATTCTTCGCCTTACTCACGGATGGGCGGCATGATGGGAAGCTATGGTGGTGGTATAATGGGCGGTTACGGAGGCATGGCTGGTGGCTACGGGGGCGGCATGTATGGCAACGGGATGATGGGGGGAATGCCGGGCGGCATGCCGGGCGACCCCAACAACCCCGACAGCCTCACGGGTCGCTTCAACATGAGCACCCAGGCAACGTTCCAGATGCTCGAGGGCATCGTCGGCGCTTTTGGCGGCTTCGCGCAGATGCTGGAGAGCACCTATATGGCGACCCATTCAAGCTTCTTTGGTAAGCACTCCACCCCTTTTTCTGTTTGACGCTTGTGCGTGCATAAGCATTAGGTTCTGACAACTTTTCACAGCAATGGTCGCTGTAGCTGAGCAGTTCGGGAGTTTGCGCGATACTCTTGGCTCCGTGCTAGGGATCTTCACGCTAATGCGATGGATTCGGACCCTGATCGCGAAGCTGACCGGCCGCCCACCGCCTGTCGATGCCACGGCGCTTACACCCGCCGCCTTTGCGCGCTTTGAAGGGCGGCAGAACCCCCTTCCCGACGGCGTTGGTGGCCCTCCCAAACCCAGCCGGAAACCGCTCTTCTTTTTCCTGCTCGCCGCGTTTGGTCTGCCTTACGTTATGAGCAAGGTGATTCGATCGCTTGCAGCGAACGCCGAGGAAGACGAGAAGCGGCGACATATGCTCGTCGTTGCGCAACAGCAGCAACAGCAAGTCGACCCATCGCAGCTCGAGTTCTGCCGTGTTTTGTACGACTTTTCACCTGCCGCGCAGGGCGGGCAGGGTGTTGTTGTGCAAGGCGTCGATCTCGAGGTGCGCAAAGGCGATCTTGTAGCAGTCCTGAGCAAGAGCGATCCTTTAGGCAACCCAAGCGAGTGGTGGAAGTGTCGTGCCCGGGACGGGAGGATAGGGTACCTCCCCGCCACATTCCTCGAGGTCCTGCGCAAACCCGGCTCGCCCATCGCTGTCATCAAGAACACCCCTGCGAGCGAGAGCAGCAGGGCGAACTCATTGATGAGCAGTGTGAGCGCCCCTAGTACCATGACTCACCCAACCCCTGCCATTCCGTCAACCAAGGTCGGGGATGTTACGGCAGAGAGCTTCCAAAAATCGCAGTTCTACTCTTAGGAGGGGACAGACTTGCGATTTGGCCACGACAAAGGCCCACCACCATTGCTTCATCAATCGGTGATGGCAATGAGAAGGAAGGCTATGCGGGATAGGAGACGCGTGACTTGAAATCCCCTCCCTTGTCTCCTCTGTACTCTCTTTCGACCGTACCCCCTTGTATCAACTCAAAGGGATGGACTGCGCGCGAATCTTATGTTAAAAAAATACCCTCCTTTTTCTTTTTCTCATTATCGGTTGTTGTTGTTGTATCCGGGATATGGTCATGAAACGACATAATACACCCTTTTCGAAAAAAGGACCGGAGTTTTTGGAGTTATTTTAAATCCTTTGATAACGGATGACGAATTGCGTCCGCCGCGCGGCGGCCGGCCTGTTTATAGATGGAAAAGGCCCTACATACACACGTCCCTTGCCTACCCTCTTTCTACTTTTGGGCGAGAAAAAAAGAGAAAGAAGGCTCGGAATAAATCAATCATTCTGAGATGATGGAGGAAAAGGGAAAGGAAAGGAAAGCTTTGTCGTTTGGTGTTGCTTGTTTTGTCCCTATCTTTTTTCACCTCTGAAGCGATAAAATAGTATTTTTTTTCTTCCAGCCCTTTTTATATATATATTTACCCAGGTATTCTTTTGGTCGATAGCAATTCGAAGAAGAAAACAACCTGGAACACACTTTTCTTGTAAAACCTTTTATGGTAGTAACGATAACTTGCATAGTCCCAACCAATATCTACCTTACCTTGGCTGCATACAGTATACTACTAATATTTGCTATATTAACCCTTACAACTGGTTCCCTCTTTTACTTTATGAATGTGTAGGCATTTGTTTGTTAGAGAGGGAGATGGTGTTTGTGTGCAGGCAAATAAGACGGCTGGCTGTCGGGAAGACACCACGCCCGCCTGCGTGGTGAGCCCAACAGCCAGTTCGTTTAGTATAACATGTGCCGTGCCCAGCAGCAGTTCACGTCTTGAGCAAAACAATGAATGCATTGCAGTGCAAGTTAGGTAAGATGGCTTGGTAAATGAAGTATTAACGCTGCTTCCTACAAAACAGGTGCTATAGCCAGATCTGCTCTTTATGGACGAGTAACACCGCCATCCGTCTTGCTTTATTGGGCAACTGTGCCCAGACGGAGCGGTCCATGCTTATCTAACTGCCACTCGCCTATCTTGCGTCTCACTCTGCTATACCATGCACCGCCCACCAACCCCTCCATCATCGGGGAGGTTGTTTCGCTGTAATTGCGTCTCTGGCCTTCATCCGACGTCCGCTTCTCTTCCTTCCATGGAAGCAGTTGCTGATCGCGTGCCAAGAGAGAACTGAGGGATATTTTCGTCCATCGGTGCCCGTGCGGTGAATTCGCAGCTCACAATAACTCAAATACGAAAAAAAATAAGGAAGACGATCTATTCCATACCCTTCCTTGGCGGTGTCAAGAAATGCCGAACTGGTGCACCAGCGCTGTTGGGAGTGATCCAGTTGCTTGCTGGTCACTCCATAGAGTGCAGCATGTTTATTCCCCCTGGTAATGTAGTTGTTATGCAACGGCAATCTTGGCGTATGACTGCCCAGTTAATACCAGCGTGGAAGGGCTGATGTGGGCGGCGTCATCGTCGCCTACCACTCGTACTCGCCAGTGGCCTTGTGAAAGACGTATTCACGGCCGTTGACAGTGAGGACTCCGTCCTTAAGCGTGCACTTCCTGTGTAGCTGTCAGCAATGTGCCGTAAATGGGATTGAGAAAGCGACATACCACTTATTCTTTACACGCTGGACCTTGTCATACATGCAGAGCATCATTTGGCCCGACCCCTCGTCGTCTTCTTCGTCATCATCGTTGTTGTCATCCGAGTCGTCGAGGTCCGAGTTAATAGCATCATCATCAAGGTCCTCGTCTTTCATAGAATCGTCAGGGCCATCGAATTGAGTGGCGCCGTCCACAGGCTTGGCTTTCGCGATGCTGCGTGTTTTCGTCGCCTCCTTGAGCGGGAGCATCAGACCACCGCCTTCCATCTGCTTGGCCCGAGATGCAATCTGGGCATGAATCAGGTTATCGATCTCAACTCGTCCCATCTCGACTCCACGTTTCATCAAGACACCATCATAAGCATCGCTAGGCCCGTCGACTTGGGCAGCGGGTAGGCCGTTGGGAGGATTCTGAGGGACACCTTGGGGTACACCGTGCTGCTGCATGCGTTGTTGCATGCCGTTGATAACGCCCTGGCGGTACTGCTGCTGCATATGCTGTTGCTGCTGTTGCTGTTGCTGCTGTTGCTGTAACGGTTGCTGTCCTTGTCGCGGAGCCTGTTGGATATTATTCTGAATGGCGCTGATGGATGCAGCAGCCCGAGGGCCGTAATTGCTCTCGAGGGCTTGGGCTGCACGCTGAGCCGCGATCTGACGAGCTCCATTCCCAGGGTTATATGGAGGAGGGATGCCAGCTTGGCCTTGCATGCCAACTCCAGGCTCCTGCTTGATAACAGGCTCGAGCTTCTGCAGGCCCGGCTCAGACTTGATGGCAATGCCATTACCATTGGAGTGCAGATTTCCCGGGAGAGAAAGGGGCTGGGCAGAGGTCTGCGGGCTCAGGGTTGCCTGGGTGTAGCTGGCAGCTTGCTGATGCTGCTGCTGCTGCTGTGGTTGTTGCTGATGCTGGGAAGGCAGGGTGGCCGGCGCCGGCGTGTGTGCGGGCGGCGCTGGAGGGGGTGGTTCAGGCTTGGGGTCCCATGGGAATGAGGCAACATTCATCTGCGACAGCTTGTGTTGCCAACCCTGTTGTTGCCTATGTGTTAGCGCTCAGTCACAAGAGAGGCAGATGATGAGGTAAGAGGAGGGGGGAAGGACGGGTATCTGCGCAGGGGTACACGTGACTCAGGGTTCGAGCGGTCCAATC